TCTCTCATTGGTTACATTTTCTTTTTCTTTTTCTTTTTTTTCCTGCTCCTCCAATCACCACCCGCCACGTGGCGAAGGGGGGTGAGGGGGTGACCCCTAAAAGGGGGTCCCAAGCATTATTCATATAATTATTGTAGGGTTATTTACATTAATATCTTTAAAGTATTGAAAATTATCGCTTTAATCCTTAAGTCCTAAACTATTAAAGCCTCTTTTGAAAAGTGTTATAAAAAAAAAAAGAAAAAAAAGAGTCAATTTATTAGTTTATGAAGGTCTCGTTTGCAAATAGGCTATTTTAGTAATTTTTTAATTTTTTACGAAAGATGTACAAAAGAATAGAGAGAGTGATGTGACAACTTATAGTAACTTTTTGACTTTTTAGCTAAAATGTATAATTGACAAACGAGGCCTTAGTCATGTCTCTACTTTTTACACATCTTTTCATAAGAGTGATGTTATTGGCACCCCATAAATTATTTGGGACCCCTAATTTCTTTGAGCCCCCACTTATAAATTTTGAGACCTTCAAAATTTCTTTTCCTCCTCCAAATAATACCAAAATTATCTTTGTGAAAATATTCTACTCATTCAATTAAATGCACACCTCCACATCTCAAAAAAATTCTCTCATAAAAATCCTAACAAAACCCACGAAGGTGATTACTATTTCATTTCGCCATTCTTATTCATGACTTAAGAAAAAAAATGTAGGCTTTTTTTATTATTGATTCAAAATTCTCTTTTTACGAATTCTGCGATCTCCACGAGTTTCGATTATCTGTTTCTGAACAAATAAGAAATGTTCAATTATCTATTCCCAAACAAATGAACAATGTTCAAGTCTGTATTCTTGAATTTCGGTCATATGTTTTAGAGTTCAATCCCAAAAAAATGACGAATAGCTTTTATTATTTTTGTCATTTTTTTTTTAAGAAACTTACTCTTATAAGGCCAATCTCTTCTGAATTAATAACACTATCAAAGTTATTAATCTCCTTTGAGTTTTTCTACCTTCACCCCCATCTCTTCCTACTCATGGTTATGGTTGTTTTATTTGCTGTAGCTCGTAGAGCTTCCAACAAGATTGTGGTGGGATTACAGATTGTGCTGGGATTACGGCAATCTGTTGTTACTTATGAGTATGATGTTGCACATAATTCCTGGTTAGATTTCAAGTTAAATCCTTCTCTGTTCACGTTAAGCCAACCAGTAGTAGCTGGCAATACGCTGTACTGGGTCGATCATGAGCTAAATGCATACAATCTTGACAACAAAATGCTCTACTCAGGACCCATAGAAGATCTGCAGATTGAGCACCATCTCAGGTGTGGTGATTATCTTTTTACATCATCCTTGCTTCATCTAGCTGAAGATCGTTTCTGTTTGCTTTGGGTTGACCCTGATGGCTCACTATCCCGCCTTCATTGCACCATACTGCAAGTCTCTAAAGGCACCGATATAAACGGCAAAGGTTGTCTCAGTGCTTCTGTTTTGTCCTGCCACTCTTTTATTCTTGAATTTCCATTGGACTTTCTTGACGGCCTGCTGATGTAATGCTGTAAGTATATCACTCGTTTCTTGGCCTATGGATTATTTCATGGAATATAGCTTACGTTATCATGTAACTTTGATGATTTCTAAATCTGATGCTTAGATTATGTAAAATCTCTCACATATCCTCTAATTATAAGCCTTGTTTTCTCTGACTGGATCAAACAACAGTCATGTAGAATACTTGCAACTGCACACACATAACATACACCATTTGTACATGTATTTGTATGTATGCGTATGCACATTTTAGGAATCTCATGCTTAGATTATGTGATCTTTGGTCATTTAAGCATATTGAAATTGTTATCTTTTCTCAAAATGTAGCAAGATTTGTCTTAAGAGGTTAAAATATTGTTAGTGATGCCTAACGAACTGTTTGTGAACTACACCTAAATCCTAAACCCTAAGCCCTCCTGTCCTGTGCTAGCAAAGTGCCTACTATTTTTTGGATCACGTTGTTCCAGCCACCCCAAACATACTCACATTATACTTCGTTGGGGAACAGTGGTACTTGCTTGGCATGGTGCTTAACAGAGGAAGAGCTTTCTTTTAGTCTCTCCAACAAAAGTTTTTGACCTCTCTTCAAATTCTCCTTAAGTGTTCACTATCTACATTCTGGTGACTCCATAATCAGAAAGAAAGTTATCAAGAAAGTTGTACTAATAATTTTTTCTTTTTTTGCTTGCCTATAATTGGTTTGACATTCATGATCACAGTGACGAAGAGAGATTATTATTACTTATTTATTTGTTTGTTTTTTTGCCGCTCAGAAAATCTGTCACATGTGAAGATAAGACTTCACAACCAGTAACACTGTTTGTTCAGAAGCTAAGCTTGCTAACTCCACCACAGCGTTTGTATGTATTATTGTTGTCATTTATTTGTCATGTATTTTAGTTGATCTTAATATGGTAATTTTATTTTTCTTCAGGGTGCAGTTCTTTGGAGATGCTTGAAGAGTGGTTGATTACCATTTCATCTATGATGGAAAAACTGGTAGATTTCTTCGCCAGCGCTATGTTCAGTTTGAGACTAGGGAAATAGGAGTGCAGGTATATCTGCTCCCTTTCTTCTTTTTTTTTTTTCTCGGTTGGATGTTGTGGTTAATATCTGATAAATCAATCTTTTGGATGTTGGGAAGTGGCACGTTGTTAGTTGATTAGTTGTTTGATTGTTAGAATGTATTATGAAGTATATCATCTATTTGGTTCTGTAATTGTTCATTTATCTATTATCTTCTTAGGGCTCACACTCCCAGTTCTTTTATGTGCAAATATCATGTCTTATCCTTGAGAGGCTTAATTGTGTAGACCATATACAATTAATTAGAACACATCATATATAGAAAACATAACTTTTATTATTGAGTATAGGAATATAGGTCCGCTTGTGATACGTGGCACCCCTTAGCCGTGTGTCACTGGCCGATTCTTTCGAGCATGCAGTAGAATAACTTTTTGTTTGTGTGCCACTTGAACTCCACCAAACTCAAGCCTGACTAACTCTCATCTTGACCATCGAGGGTTACCCGTCTTGTCGAATATAGGCCCCATTCTTTGTCAACTGAGAGCAACTCCACAAAGGAAGCTTCAGCTTTGAGTGCCACAAGTAGACATGACATCTCAAGTGCACCAAGCATGGCTCATGTCGCTTCATCGCACCAAGCTTTCCCATGATCAAGGCACTTGCCCAATCGAGGCTTGTGTTAGTCAAAGCATTCCATGCCAGCATTGCCTGCAACTGACCCAACACCATGTTGCCTAACTGTGCATTGATGTAGCACCCTCAACCTAACTGATAAGCTATCTCGCTTCTGTTTAGGGTTTCTCATTGCGTTCGTCTCGGATACCCACAGATGACTGAGGTCTCATGCACGGCCAAAACTTGAAAACTGAAATGAATGGCTAGGATGCACTCAAGATTTGATCTCACAACAAAACTTTAAGCACACCATTGATCTACTTTTAATGGAAAAAATCTAGGACCATTGTCTGGTCTCTTAGATTTTCCTTAACAAAATATATATTGGTAATTCAACTTTGCAAGTTGAACCACTACACTACCAATCACTACGGTGGTGTGCTCTTCTGTGAATGCCTCAGCGGCAACCATCATGCTAGTTCAGAGATCACCCCTGATGTAGATCACTCTATGTTGACTACAACCTGGATCCCATTCACCGAGATCACTCACAAAGTCTACACTGGTAGCTTTAGGGTCCACAATCCAAGCCCATGACTTTCTTTCTTTGGAAAATTTTCTATATCACTTACTTTTTATCGTAGTTTTTTTAGATGGGTATAGCACTATGTAATGGTGGCTTGGTGCTTTGGGTTAGTGATCCATGGGGTTGAAGAAGGTAGATTTTTGCTGGTCAGTAGTTGGTGTTTGTTAAACAATAGTTGTGTGTGCAAAATATGGGGGTGGCGTCTGATGGTGAATTTGGAGATGTCGCTACAGATTATGTAAGAAAGATGGACGGTAGGTTTGGGCTTGCAAAGGATCATGATAAGGTTTTGTGGGCATTTGTTGTTTAGAAATTGATTGTTTGGATGCAAAGATAAAGATAATTTGTGTTTGTTTTGTCACGAATAGTGTCGTAGAAATTTGATTTTGTAAAGTGCCGCAAGTATAATTGCATATCACTTTTAATCTCAATTAACACAACTCAAATAGGGAAGGTGATGCGGGATGTTCATGGATTCTCATGTAGACTTTATTTACAATTTTATGATTTTATTTGTCTTTAATACTTTATTTATTTATTTATAGTTCATTTAAACCTTATTTTATGATTGTATTACTGATATCGATACATATCCTGATACCATTATTATATGATATTGAGTAAAAGGTTGTGGCTGTTTGTGAGATTATTATGATTTTGATCCTTGTGTTCTTTTTCTTCTCTTTTGATTCTTTTTAAAAGTTTGATATTCTCTTTAGATGAATTCTCCATAAATTTTAGTTTTGGAATAAGTTAGATTGCTGAACGGATTTCTTAATAGCTATTCGGCATCAATTGGTATCAGAGCCCAATTTCGATCCACTTTGCTCTGTTCAATTGGTGTGATTTGTCTTCTTTATATGACCTCATCAATTCGAACCAAAATCATTATTTAAAAAATAAAATAATATCTTCTCTCCCATTAGCTATGTTTGTTCACCAATGTCGAGTTATACTCTAAATTTGAGATCCCTATCATGAGCACCATCAGATGAAGAAAGATATGAAAGAGATGAATAAATGAGTTAGATGAAAGCAATTTTGAACAAATTCTTAGTCCATTTTTTGGGGATAACTTTTGCAATTCCTAAAGGGTGTTGTGACGATCAAGTGGAAGTTAATTTTGAATAAATTGTTTAGTATTTATTTATTTATTTATTTTTGTTTGTGTGTGGAGAAACTTTAGAAAGTATTCAAGGGAATTGTGACGATCAAGTGGACGTTGTTGATCAAGCAGTTTCTAAGTATGAGGAACCTAATATTATTTTGGAAAAACTTTCAGAAGTCTAAGATGTTAAGGTTGAAATGGAAGAAAATGTCATGTAGAATATGATATGAATTTACTAAAAGAAGAGCTTCCTAGTAAACAACCACCAATTGTTTTTTTGATCAAACTAGATCGGATTGATTTTTTTGGCATTGAAACTTTCCTTTGTCTATTCAATCTGTAATGACTCAGAATTTTTTTAAAAAAAAGTCAGTGCATAAATTAATTGAGCAATATTTGGATTGGGTTGCTGTGTAAAATTCTGTTTGAAAATGGTCCGATTTTGTATTTTTTAAAAACGGTTTCCTATCTCAGAAAATTATTTAATTTTTATATGTCATTTCCATATAAGTCTAACATGTTGTGTTAAAATTTTAGAATAAAGGACAAGTATTTATTTTTTGAAAATTCATGGATTGAACAACGTTCAGTTGAGTTTATAGCATAATTTGATGTTGAGTTTTGGATGTTTAGACCATGACTTGAGATAAGTTTGTTGGGTCTACTTTGATATACAATTTGGTTATGTTTGGCTTGTGAGTGAGAATTTAATTTAAGACCCATTACTTAAAATCAATTTAATTTGAATTTGTTTATTACTCTTGTTTGACTATTTGGTCTTTTTAATTATGTGATTGGTAAGTTGAATTTATCGTGCGTTAGTGAAAAATTGTATATTTTTGTAGTAAGCAAGAGATTTTATTTTGTGGTGTATAAAAATATTATATTTTATGATGAGATAAAATTATATCATTTTTTAATTTGTGATATAAATTTTATGATATTATTACAAATATGTTTATATATGGGCATCTTGTCTCCAGTCCGCAAAGTGAATTGGACGATGCTGTTGGGTCCGTGGGGCTCACTACGGGTCTTGTTTCGATAATCCAAATCGTTCAATGTGTAGAGCTCGTCGAGTACTTTATCCTTATAGAAATTCACATTGATCGGATATCGATAGCTACTTGATCAGATCAGATTTTTGTTAACAATTTATTTTGAAAATTATATTTACCATTGATAGAAATTTGATTCGATCAAGTAATTATCAATATTTGATCAATGTGATTTTTTATAGAGATAAAGTACTCAACGAGTTCTACATATTGATAGTTCAGATTATCGAAATAGGTCCTGTGGTGGGCCTCTATGGGCCCAACAACACACTCCAGTCCAACCACGGACTAGAGAGAAGCCTAGCCCTTTATATATTTATATATAATTTTTGGAGAAAGAGAACAACCCACATGGGGTTGTCTCCTCCCATCCCTCCTCATTTCACTTTTTCCCCTCCTCTATCTTCACTTTCCCAACTTTTCATTTCTTTGACTTCTTGATCCTGCAGAGAAAAGAGGAGAGGCTCCGTCTCTCTCTCAAACATTTGAACAAATGATTTGGTTCACATTTTGAAAGATCAGAGCTAGATTGGGTTAGATTTTGGAAAAGTTTTGTAAATGAAAGTCGGAGAGCTTGTTGTACTTTTTGCAATGGTAGTCTCAGATCAAAAATTCGACAAGATTTACGTCCTAGATCTGCTCCTCTTCATTATTTGAGGTAGGGATTTTCTTCATGTTATTTATGTAAATCCATGTTAGGGATAGTTTGAGAAAATATATCATTATAGGAGGTATTACATATATATTATTCTCAGATTTTTGTTTGGATAATTTTTGGAAGAAAATTATGTTGAAATGTTGATAATATTGGTATTCTGAAATTGATTTGGAAAAATCATCTTGTGGTAGTAATTTTTGTTAAAAAATCCGAATACAAATTTAATAGTTATATGCTTTGTATCTACATCATATTATGATTAGATAATTTATTTTGAGAAAAATAATGTTGAAATATTCTCTCATCTTTGATTTTTGAATTTACTTTTGAGAAAAATAAATTGATGTTGATGAATATTGTGTAAATTGTTTAGTTGGAATTATAGAGTTATCTTTGGATAAAAATTCTAAAATTGTTGTATTCATGATATTTTATGAATAGTGATATATTGATGATTAAATTTTGTTCACTTTTGTGAAATGAAAATATGAAATGTGGACTTTTGAACTCCCAACCTTGGAAAGGTTACTCTTCGGCATATTTCATGATTTTTTATGTAAATATCATGTAATTAGTTAATTTTAGAAAAGTTGTGAAATTGTTATTTGTAGAGAATTTAGGAAAAATTAACTATTTAAGTAGCTTGGTATGAAATATGGTTATTTTTGAAAGATGAAACATGTGAAGTTATGTTTGGTATTATTGATTTGGCAAATTTTGAATACAATGAACTTATTAATTTGGTGGATCAAATTAGTTTGGTTAATATTTTATATCCTTAGTAATTGAAAGTGTGTTATGGGTTTATTTTCTAACTTTTAATATTATGAGATTGGAGAAAATAAGTGAGATTAAGGCCTCGTTTGGGGACTACATATTTTAGCCAAAAAGTCAAAAAGCCATTATAAGTTGTTTCATGAAACAAAGTTGAACTAAGATTATTAGTTAAGTTGATGTAATTTGGTATTTGGTCATTAGTTTCACTAGTTGAGTTATGTTAT